ACACACACACACACAATACACACACACACACAATACACACACACACACAATACACACACACACACAATACACACACACACACAATACACACACACACACAATACACACACACACACAATACACACACACACACAATACACACACACACACAATACACACACACACACAATACACACACACACACAATACACACACACACACAATACACACACACACACAACACACACACACACACAATACACACACACACACAATACACACACACACACTACCTCTCACACACACAATACATATACACAATACATATACACCGACACATCCCCCTGACAGGTTTCATACAGAGACTACTGACCCCTTTCTTGTCTCCTCCCTGCGAGGCGGCTGGAGACCCAAACCCTCCTGGAGACTGCGTGTATCCACCAGTACTGGCCTCGCCGTATTTACCTGCCAAAATAGAAATAGTTTATATTTCCATCGAGACCACTGCAGGTGTAAACCAACATCGACACACTCGCTGTGCAGCGCGACTGTAGTGCGAGTAACGGACATCCTGACAACACACTGAGCTCTCAAGAGTCTCATTAGCAAGTTAGCAGAGCTCAGTAAGCTAGGAGCCACCGCGTGCTACACACAAATCATGACTAAACCACATAACGTTACCTTGGTTCCACATTTTACTCGCTAATGTTTTCTCCTGAACACGACCTAGCTCGACGAAGCTCTGGAAAAACTCCCGCCACCGCGCGCTGCCTGACGTCACGACTCCAGTCCGCGCGCTGAAGCTGCGCATGCGCATTCGTACACAAACGTAAATATTGTAAGCGTTAAAACTGTACATGTATTTGATTTCTGACCCTTCCAATAAGAAAGCTGTAAAAAATGTGAATCTTTTTAAAAGGTACATTATTTTCTTGCTCCCTGGCATGTAGTACATTAATGTCATTCTGTGTTTCATATATTATAATAAATAAATAAATAAATAAACTACGCATGCGCATACCAGCACTGCCGCGAAAGTCCTTCAGAAGCGGCGAAGAATTTTATTCACAAATTTAGATTTTTTTTAAGTCACCCCCCATGTTTATAGTATTTAAGAATTATTTGAGACAATACTCAAAAACTTTGTCAAAAACAAAAAATACAAAAGCTGGAATCTTGTTAGATTTATTTGATATTTATTTATATATATATATATATTTTTTTTTTATTCTGTGTTAGTCTAAGCCCTTTGTAAAACTGTAAGTTGTATGCCAGTTTGTTCTGTAAACTTGTGATTTTTTGTTATACTTCAAATAAAAAAATAAAATAAATAAAAGTCCTTCAGAAGCTTACAGATTTGCGTTTTTTCTTCAACAAAAGACATACTCTGACCCCTTTCAATATTTTTAAACTAAGATAAAAGGAGCCTAAACTTTAATTTGTTTAAGCATTTTAATTTCGTGAAATCTTTAACTATTTAATTTTGTTAATATTATATTATATATTATATTGTTATATTATACATAACAAAACGTATTCACGCTCCTTCTTGTGTGTTTAGACAATTTCTTAGTTATTTATTTAGTTAGTTAATATCTGTCTTTCTAATAAATACTGATTTGACAGTGTTTTATTTTTTATGTATGTAAGTGTCAATTAAATGCCTAATTGCCTAATAATATTCTGCGTGTCTAGTATTATCTACACCGTACAGTGTTCGCGGAAAACTGTTTGTTGAAGACTTTTAATTTGAAATAACGTGCTTCCTGACGTCACGAGCGTGTCGCGGAAGTCTGTTGTCACGCTGTGTTTGTGTGTCGCGTGGGGTTCTTCAGCAGGTCTGTAATATAAGTATATTTTCCCGGGAAGGGATATAAATGGAAGAGACTGCGCAACAAGACCTCGTCTTTCTGGAGACACACACACACACAATACACACACACACACAATACACACACACACACAATACACACACACACACAATACACACACACACACAATACACACACACACACAATACACACACACACACAATACACACACACACACAATACACACACACACACAATACACACACACACACAATACACACACACACACTACCTCTCACACACACAATACATATACACAATACATATACACCGACACATCCCCCTGACAGGTTTCATACAGAGACTACTGACCCCTTTCTTGTCTCCTCCCTGCGAGGCGGCTGGAGACCCAAACCCTCCTGGAGACTGCGTGTATCCACCAGTACTGGCCTCGCCGTATTTACCTGCCAAAATAGAAATAGTTTATATTTCCATCGAGACCACTGCAGGTGTAAACCAACATCGACACACTCGCTGTGCAGCGCGACTGTAGTGCGAGTAACGGACATCCTGACAACACACTGAGCTCTCAAGAGTCTCATTAGCAAGTTAGCAGAGCTCAGTAAGCTAGGAGCCACCGCGTGCTACACACAAATCATGACTAAACCACATAACGTTACCTTGGTTCCACATTTTACTCGCTAATGTTTTCTCCTGAACACGACCTAGCTCGACGAAGCTCTGGAAAAACTCCCGCCACCGCGCGCTGCCTGACGTCACGACTCCAGTCCGCGCGCTGAAGCTGCGCATGCGCATTCGTACACAAACGTAAATATTGTAAGCGTTAAAACTGTACATGTATTTGATTTCTGACCCTTCCAATAAGAAAGCTGTAAAAAATGTGAATCTTTTTAAAAGGTACATTATTTTCTTGCTCCCTGGCATGTAGTACATTAATGTCATTCTGTGTTTCATATATTATAATAAATAAATAAATAAATAAACTACGCATGCGCATACCAGCACTGCCGCGAAAGTCCTTCAGAAGCGGCGAAGAATTTTATTCACAAATTTAGATTTTTTTTAAGTCACCCCCCATGTTTATAGTATTTAAGAATTATTTGAGACAATACTCAAAAACTTTGTCAAAAACAAAAAATACAAAAGCTGGAATCTTGTTAGATTTATTTGATATTTATTTATATATATATATATATTTTTTTTTTATTCTGTGTTAGTCTAAGCCCTTTGTAAAACTGTAAGTTGTATGCCAGTTTGTTCTGTAAACTTGTGATTTTTTGTTATACTTCAAATAAAAAAATAAAATAAATAAAAGTCCTTCAGAAGCTTACAGATTTGCGTTTTTTCTTCAACAAAAGACATACTCTGACCCCTTTCAATATTTTTAAACTAAGATAAAAGGAGCCTAAACTTTAATTTGTTTAAGCATTTTAATTTCGTGAAATCTTTAACTATTTAATTTTGTTAATATTATATTATATATTATATTGTTATATTATACATAACAAAACGTATTCACGCTCCTTCTTGTGTGTTTAGACAATTTCTTAGTTATTTATTTAGTTAGTTAATATCTGTCTTTCTAATAAATACTGATTTGACAGTGTTTTATTTTTTATGTATGTAAGTGTCAATTAAATGCCTAATTGCCTAATAATATTCTGCGTGTCTAGTATTATCTACACCGTACAGTGTTCGCGGAAAACTGTTTGTTGAAGACTTTTAATTTGAAATAACGTGCTTCCTGACGTCACGAGCGTGTCGCGGAAGTCTGTTGTCACGCTGTGTTTGTGTGTCGCGTGGGGTTCTTCAGCAGGTCTGTAATATAAGTATATTTTCCCGGGAAGGGATATAAATGGAAGAGACTGCGCAACAAGACCTCGTCTTTCTGGAGCTCAGACAGAAGCTGCAAAGTGGCCTTGTGTTCATTCGGTAAGCCGCGGGGTTATTTCTCTGTATTAATGCTCGGTCAGTTATTTATATTCAGTTCAGTTCATCAGAAAAGCATTGACATGACATTAATTGGCAGTAAAGCCTAATTACTAGCTTTGCTCTGGAAATTAGGTAACTTAGTAATTTACATTTTCAGGATGCACGCTATGACGGACCTAGAAACAACACCAGAGAATACTAAAAATATAATAACTTCTGTAGTAGCCGGTTTACTGTACGTGTGTACTGTACGTGTTGTGTGTACTGTACGTGTGTACTGTACGTGTTGTGTTTACTGTACGTGTGTACTGTACGTGCTGTGTTTACTGTACGTGTGTACTGTACGTGTTGTGTGTACTGTACGTGTGTACTGTACGTG